GTTTCACTCTCCTTTTGTTAAACAGCCAAAACTCACAGCAGATTAGGCAGAACCCATGCCCAAACATTTTAAGATACAGAGTGAGCAAGAACACACCCTAGGAAAGGCTCACCGTAAATTCTTAGGACAGTGGTTGGCTTAGGCAACAGAGCCAAATATCAACAGTACGTTTGAAATTTCTTTTGAGAGCCTAATTTTTTAAACTTAAACTATATAGGCAGGTACATTGTTATTAACTTAATTAGGGTACTCCTAAGGCTTAGGAAGAGCCACACTCAAGGAGCCCAAGAGCCACATGTGACTCGCGAGCTGCAGTTTGCCGACCACGGCCTTAGGAGAAAGCAAAGAACAGTGAGGTAGCATGACAAAGTTTTAAAAAGTGTCTAAATAAAAATTGATTGACCAAACCAAGTATTCTCTAATATGAAGAGGAACTGAATCCCTCATAGGCTGCTGGAAAATGCACACAGGCCAATTGCCGGAAGCCAATTCCAGCATCATCATTGCAAGAGTTTCATGGAAAGGTTGATGGAACTTGGGGACTTCCCAAGGGCTGAGTCAAACATGTTGTCACCTGTTGGGAACGGCTGAGGGCATTTCCCCAACCTGAAAAGGGATGATTGCTTGCTGCCAGACAGCTCAGGGCATCTTAATCTACATGTTATTGCCTCCTACTGGCCAAACACCTGAACAGCCATAGGCAAATTCCCCCATGTTCACAACGCTTGTGTATATGGAAACCCTACCCTTTGAAGTGTATATCTCTGCCTCGCATTAGGACAAATTGTGTTAAAAAGAGAGGGGTTGTTGTGGACCACCGTTCGCGAGAGTAAGACCACCGACTCCAATTAGGTCTTAAGCAGCAAACAAGGATTTATTGAAAACTGGCCAGTGACTGCCGTAGGCGTTTTTTCCTACGTCAGCCCCGAACCTGGTTCTAGCCCAGCCTTTTATACACAGAAACTATCAAACGGTTGGCTAAACATACACAAAGTTACCTGGGATACAGCCAGGGCTACATTAATCAATACTGCCTGTTACCAAGGTATTATTAATCAGTGTTACCAAGGTATTATTAATCAACTTTGCCCCGTTGCTCCAACTACTAATAAACTTGCCCCGTACCCTAGACTACCAATAAACTTGCCCCGTACCCTAGACTACCAATAAACTTGCCCCATACCCTAGACTACCCTGGACCACAGTTGGTTCCATTTCCCCAGTAACTGCCAACATACCTGAGAGGGACATTCAGAGGTTAAGAAGAAGCATTGTGCTAGCCTTGGAAACTGGAGTGTGACCTTCTTCCTTATTCTATGTTAGCCAGTTGCCTTTATTTTATTTTATAAGGGGGGCTTAACTGTAACAGGGTCCTGAGATGAGGAGAACTTAGTTTCTTTAGCTAGGCTACTCTGACCCCCAAATGCCTTTCAAAATTATGCTTCGTCCCTGGACTCTTTATTAAGTTACACCAGCCCTTCTCCAGATTGCTGAACCCTTTTAGATGCTGGAACAAGAACCCCGGCAGCCAATCAGTGTCAATCACTACTTGCACATATCTATAAGTTAAACATTCACCTATCCAACAATTCAAAACTATTGACAAGGGTAAATGGAACATATCCTCATAAAGAGTTCTACAAAAATTGTTTGTAGCAGTTTAAATACAGTCAGAAATTAGAAATAAGCATAGCAAATGAATACAGCATGCTAAATTCGAAGATAAAAACATTTCTCCACAAAAAAAGGTGAGCTACAGATATATCATTAATAAACCTCTAAACATTTATGCAATGTAAAGAGCAAAAAAAAAAACACAAAACACCTCAGATTCCCATCATATAAAGTTCAGAAATTGCGGTTATTTATTAAGATGGAATGTAAATTAGTGGTTCCGTGAAAAGCTATTAAGGGCAGAGAGATTCAAAAATGACTTGTCATTTACCCTTGTTAATGCATATGTGGGTTCCTCAAATTTTGTACTTGACATGTCATGCTGAAAACCAAGATCAACAGTAATTAATATAAATGCGAGAAGTCCAGTCAGAAGGCTGAATTTGGACTCTTTGATAGTCACAGGGTGAATATTTGCATTTTATTACCTACTGCTGACTCAATGGCTTAAAGCAAACTCCCCCAACCTGATAATCTTACTGTTTACTAAACATTACCATTGATATGTCTGTTTGCATTCCTAAAAGGCAATTGTGTATTCTAGTAACTAAAAGCAGACAGGAATGGCTTGACTACTACAACTAAGCTTTCCCCTGGCTTCTCTCATAATTCCAAATTCATATTTCTTGTCTCGTATTTTAATTTGCATGTCAGCTCTTTCTCCAAGCTTTTGAACCCGAAAGCCACGCTGCCTGTGGCTTTTCACAATGTCAGTTATTAATGAAACCATTTTAAAATTGGTTCAAGGTAAAAGAAATTTGCATGTCCCATTTTTTTTTGGAAAACAGATTTGACAAGTTGATATTCAATCCCTATTCTCATGCCCCATGAAAGAGAGGCTTGCCTCAGTGACAGCAAACAATGAAGAGCTTTCACCCAAACCAATAGGAATGCTCCCTGGTTCACAAGTCACATCCTGACTTAGAGATACCCCCTTTTTTACAAATAGATTTTTATTAATTCCAGAGAGGAAGGGAGAGAATAGAAACATCAATGATGAGAATCACTGATCAATTGCCTCCTACACTGCCCCTACTGGGGACTAGCCCCGCAACCTGGTCATAAGCCCTTACTAGGAATCGAACCTAGGACCCTTCAGTCCGCAAGCCAATGCTCTATCCACTGAGCCAAGCCAGCCAGGGCACCCCTTTTCTTTATCATTCTTTTTGTGCCAAGGCACCAATGGCTCTGATGTGAAATTCTCAGAGGTCACAGAAAATACTCTTAAACGTGTGGAGATTCTCAGATCTGTGTACATGCCACCCTGCAGTGTTTTCCTCAGAACAGTTCTGAATGCACATTTATAAGAGGCTCATTCCATCTCGATGGCAGCAATCTCTCCCAACACCATGTAGGCCAGTGGTTCTGTAGCAATCATGGCTCCCCTCATCCCTATGTGTATGGTTCCTAGGCCTAGCTTGAGATTAGGGCCATCTTCCCTGGCCCTAATCTCAACCAGTGATAATCACCCATGGAATTATAGGCATTAGGGCGAATAATCCTTGTAAAGACCTGGGCAAGAGATTTCCCCCACAAAAATGGAAAATAATTCATGTTTTTTCCATATGGAACTGAGGTTGGCACAGCTAGCCACTCTTTGGAGTGATCTCCTGAAACTCTCCTAAAACTCACAGCATCAGGCTTAATATGAGAGCTGGGAAAATAGTGCAGCAATGAAAAGCTGGCCTAAACTGCTCATTTCTGCACCATGTCATTCTCCCATAGGCAGAGGAAGTCTGAGATGCCCATAAAATTGGTTCACCTCCTGATGCTTATAGAACCCAAATCTGCTTATAAACTCCCACAGACAGTAAATAGAACACCTAAGTTAAAGAAGACTTAGAAAGTCCTTCACTATTTTACAAACCAAAGGGACAAGAGCCTGGCAGTTCTTGATTCCATGACTTAGCCACTCAAAAACATCTATCACTGTTACCTAGAAAAAGCCTGTCCCTGGGAGAGGTAGTTATTCTATAAGCTACTCTCTGAACACTGATGATGTTCTCTGGGGACAACACTGAGTCAGGTCCATATGGCAACTAGTCAGAGTGAAAGGAAATAAGACCTCGTACAAGTGCAGGCTACTCCCAAATTTCTCAAACAAAACAGAGAACAGAGTTAGCTTTCCTGAGCACATGAGGATGGTGACCCATGCAATCTGTGAAAGCCATATAGGTGGACCAGGTGAAATAGCTTCATCAACCAAAATAGTGAGATACATGGTGTGGCTCAGGGGGTGAGACTGGACCTATAAAACAGGTCATGGTTCCATTTCCGGTCAGGACACATGCCCAGGTTGTAGGCTCAATCCCCAGTTGGGGATGTGCAGGAGATAGCGAATCAATGATTTTCACTCAGCATTGATGTTTCTCTCTCCCTCTCCCTTTCTCTCTGAAATATATATATATTTTAAATCCTATAAAAGGGCAATATGCAATTGGACCAAATGGTGGATCCACCCACTGGTCACCATCAGGGGGCAGACACTCACCGCAGGAGCTGCACCCAACCTGTAGGCCCTGATGGCTTGATCAGGGTCTGCCAGCCAACCTCTCAGTCCCCCTTTCCCCCCCTCCCGGCCGGCAGGCTCCATTTGCCTGATGGTGAACAGGAAGGTGAGGGGTGAGGCAGGCTGCCGGCAGCCAGGGAAGATGGCCCTAATCTCAAGCTAGGCCTAGGAACCATACACGCACATGAATTTCGTGCGCCGGGAGTCTACTAAAAATATATTTAAGGGGAAAATAAATATTGACAGCCCTACTTGATTTGGCTCAGTGGATAGAGCATCAGTCTGCAGACTGAAAGGTCCTGGGTTTGATTCCAGTCAAGGGCACATGACCAGGTTGCAGGCTCCATCACCAGCAGGGGGCGTGCTGAAGGCAGCCGATTAATGATTCTCATCATTGATGTTTCTAATGTTTCCATCTCTCCCTCTCCCTTCCTCTCTGAAATCAATAATATATTAAAAAAATTGACAGAGGTTGTGAACCTGGTGATAGGGCACAGGTGTAGAAGAAAAAAAAATGATGCAGGGACATAGAACTGGCAAGACACCTGTGTAAATAACAAATTATAACATACACATGTGGCTCAGTGGGTTCCCATTCAAGGTACACGTCCCGGTTGCATGGTCAACCCCCAGTAAAGGATGCGCAGGATGGAGCTGACTATGTGTCATCACAGATGTTTCTGTTTCTCTCTCCATCACCCTTCCTATCTGAAATTAATAAAAAGTTTAAAAAATGAGTGCAAAATACACACACATGATTTTCACAGCACTCAAATTTATTGGGAATCTCCCTACTCTTGATGTTGCAGTGTATGAGATTCAGCAAAATAATCTACATTTCCTACATATACAAGACCTTCCTCCAATGTGAACTCTTATGTGGGGAGTAGGGTTAGAATTTTGGATAAAAGATTTCCCATATTAACTACACTCATCAGGCCTTTCTCTAGTGTGAATTTTCTGATGACAACCAAGGCAATACTTGGTGGTAAATGACTTCCCACACTCACTGCACACATAAGGCTTTTCTCCAGTGTGAACTCTCAGGTGACGACGGAAGCTACTACCACTGATAAAAGATTTTCCACATTCACTGCACTCATAAGGCCTTACTCCAGTGTGAATTTTCTGATGACGACGGAAGGCACTACTACTGGTAAAAGATTTCTCACATTCATTGCACTCAAAAGGCCTTTCTCCAGTGTGAACTCCCATCTGATGGTAACGAAGGCTACTTCCACAGGTAAAAGATTTTCCGCATTCACTGCACACATGAGGCTTTTCCCCAGTGTGAATTCTCTTATGACGATTAAGGACATTATTCCGAGTAAATGATTTCCCACATTCACTGCACTCATAAGGCCTTTCTCCAGTGTGAATTCTCTGATGACATTGGAAGCCATGTTTCTGAATAAATGATTTCCCACATTCACTGCACTCATAAAGCCTTTCTCCAGTATGAACTCTCTGATGATAACGAAGATGATAGATACTGTTAAAAGATTTCTCACATTCATTGCATTTATGCCTTTCTCCAGCGTGCAATTTCTGATGATAACGGAAGCCACTACTACTGACAAAAGATTGCCCACATTCATTGCACTCATAAGGCCTTTCTCCAGTGTGAACTCTCATCTGATGGTAACGGAGGCCACTTTTACAGGTAAAAGATTTTTCGCATTCACTGCACTCATAAGGCATTTTCCCAGTGTGAACTATCTGATGATCACGAAGAAAACACATCCTGGTAAAAGATTTTCCACATTCAATACATTGATAAGGCCTTTCACCTTTGTGACATCTCTGATGAGAAAGGAGGCCAGTAATACTGGTAAAAGAATCCCCAAATTCACTGTGCTCATAAAGCTTTTTTTCTGCATGAGATCTCTGATGGTAACAAAAAGTAGAAAATTGGGCAAAATATTTTCCACATTCACGGCAACAAAAATACGTTTTGCCAGTAGGGACACTGTTGTCCCAAATACACGTGTAGTTATAGTCAATGGCTTTCTTACTTTCTTTTGTAGTAAAATAATTATTTTTCCCTTGATATGTCACCCCACACATTGAGATAACATTTGGCTTGTCACTGATCTGAGTATCCTTTTGCTGGAAATGGCCTGCCATGCTAAGGACGTCCTGCTCCACCTCTCCACAGGTAAAAAGGTTCTGAAACACATTGAAATCGCAGCTGTTTTCAAGTGAGACACTGTTCACACCTCTTATCAAAGGCTTCTCTCTCAAGTGCTCCTGCTGGTGCTGGTGAAATTGTGCACTGAAATAAAATTGTTTTGCACATGCCCCACACCTCAACAGTATCTGCCTGTGTTGTAATGCCTGCTGATGAGTCAAGCGGAAAATGTTTCTCAAAACTAGTCCACAACTCTCACAGGGGTGGCTTTTCTGGGAAGACAAAACTAACTTGGGATTCCTTGCCTGTGACACTCTTACAGAAATGTTCTCTTCAAAAGGTGCCTCCACATTCTCTGCTCCACAGCAGCAACCTAAATAAAAGGAAATGCAGGTGAAGTACATGATGACTTTGGAAGGAAGAAATACCCTCATCTCAACTGTCTGTCACAACCAGGCATGATTGCATGGGATGCTTTTTAAGACCAGTGAGTTAGACTCTGAGGAAATGGCTGTTATACATTACTTGACTCCTAAGGTCAATCAATGGTGGAGACCTTAGCAAGGGAGGGGCAGGAACACATGATGGGACACAAACAAGAGAGGCAGGGCTCCCAAGTTGTTCCTTTACAAACAGCTTCCTATAGGACCATTCTAACTGTTGATGCAGCCTGTGTAGAACAATATGAATGTGCTTGAACATATTAAAACCCAATGCATTCCAGCACATGATGTGTATAGTTAATATAATATGTGACACACCAAGGCTGTAAAGGCATGGATCAAGGTTGGAGTGCAGTAAAGAGGAACCTGTATGGGAAGCAGTTGAGGAACATAGTTTAGAGAGGTAAAGATTATCCATAAGCTGGAAACCTAAGTGGAAATTATAGTGGTTAGAATGGAGTACTTTAGCCATAGATAGTGTGGCAACGTGGATTGAGCATCATCCTACCCATTGAAAGGATGCCAGATCGAATTCCTGTGAAGGCACATGCCTAGGTTCCAAGTTCAACTGACATTTGGGCTGCATACAGGAGGTAACCAATCAATGTTTCTCTCTCATCACTCCTCTCTCTCTCTCTCCCCTCCCTGTGTCTAAAATAAAGAAAAACCTTTTAAAAAATAGAACTGAACAGTTTGCAAAGGGTAAATAATAAACAAGCAGAAGTAGAATGGGGTACAGAACTGGCTATGGTAACAAAACAGTGTTGAACAAAATAAGTTCTTACTTATAATCTTAATAAAGCTCTTGTGTCAAACTCTACCCAACAGCCCTTCACCAAGGAAAGACGGCCTCTGGGTCCACTCTGCCGTGGATGTAGTCATCTTTCTCTTATAATGCAAAAATGATTCTTCCCCTTAAATCCCAGTTGAGCAATTACATTGGATACAGATGACAGAAATCCTCAAAGAAAAACTGAAAAGATGCATGGCCAGTATTGTGGTAGAACAAGAGAGCATGGATGAAACAATAGAGAAAAAAAACAAACCGAAGCAGAATAAAAAATGAAAATAAAATAAAAAACTATGTGAGTGACACCAGCAATATAGCAAAATAGGAGATAGAAGAATTTATCTTCCTGCCAGAATAAGTAGACAGATATCGACAAATAAACAAATAAATTCCCACCAGAGATGGGAATAAGAGCCCAATAAAGACAAAGAGCAATGCAAAAGACTGAGAAAGGAGAGAACTGCATAGAAAGGATGACTGGGAAGATGGGTAGTCAAAAAGATTTGAAGATAGCTAGGGTTAAAAACCACAGCCAGAGTAACCATACTAACATGAGTGTATTGTTTTGTGAAATACACTGAAAAGTTTTGTTTTGGAAAACTGCAAAAGCCCATTTAACATCTGTGTATTCCCCACAATTTACACATCAAAGGACCATTTAGTGTTTGTTGGTATGAATTATCAAAGAAATACTTTTGGCCACAACCTACCATAGAATAGAAACAGAAATCCGTATGTCCCCAGCAATATTTTTCACCCTCAATTGTCAATGAAAAAAATGGCTACCAAAGTCATTATGGACTCATACATTATCTATACTCTATACTAATAAAAGGGTAATATGCTAATTAGACCGGACATCTTCTGGACATCCTTCCAGGTATCTTTCTGGAAAAAGCCACAATGGTGGGGGCCGAGGCAGAGGCGGTTAGGGGTGACCAGGCTGGCAGGGGTGGGCAGTAGGGGTGACCAGGCTGACAGAGGAGGGCAGTTAGGGGCAACCAGACAGGCAGATAGGTGAGTGGTTAGGAGCCAGGGGTCCCAGATTACGAGAGGGATGTCAGACAGTCGAACATCCCTAAGGGGTCCAGGAATGAAGACGGTGTAGGCTGGGCTGAGGAACATCCCCTCCAACCCCCCATGCACAATTTTCATGCACTGGGCCTATAGATTATTATTATGACCTCAACTCATAGAGCATCAAGAAGGCAAGACTTTTGAATCTTTTCTCAAGATCAAAACAACACCCCTCCCGGCCAACAGCCTTTATCACTCATGTAGATAAATCTAATTATCATTACATAATTGGTCCATAAGGGTGAAAGGATTAAAGGAGTAACTGCTTCATGATATGTGAAGACACTTGATCTATACTAATAATAGCCAAATATGTAAATTGATGGTCCCTCCACGAGAACCACAGCCAATCAGGAGTGAGCATGCAAATTAACCCGACAAAGATTGCGGGCCTGTGGTCAGCGCGCACGTGCACAGGTGCCAAGCAGCTGGGGGCGGGATGGGCCACAGTCCTCCCCAGAACCCCATCTGCTCCAAGCCTGTAGCCAGCACACGCCGGCGCCGAGTGGCCGGATCCCGGGGACACTACTAGAGTGTCTGGTCTCGTCTGCTCGGCCTGGGGGCAGCTGGAGTTCCCAGTCATTTTGATTTTTGCAGTCCATGGATTGGAATCAGAAACCAAGAGCGCGAGGAGCACCAGGAATTCTGGGAATCGTAGTTCTGGTGGCAGACGTGCTATGGGATCTCCTAGACACTAGAGCAAAGTGAGCCAGGAGCAAGTTACTGTTGCGGGAGGGGGATGGAGGAAAAGCAAAGGTTAGAATCATAAGTAACGTCAGAGTTTTGAGGAAAAATTAAAAGGAAGATATCCTGCAACTTCTAGGAAATCTCCACCAATGGAGCAAAGAAAAAAAAAAGACCTCTATTATTCTGTGAGCACCACACTAAACTGGGTTGGGGTCTCAGACAATTCGCTCATATGATTACAAAGACAGACAGAAACTCCTGGATTGGAGAGGGCACCCATGAGGGCTCCCAGATTGGAGAGGGTGCAGGTCGGGGTGAGGGACCCACCCCCCTTGCATGAATTTCGTGCACCAGGCCCCTAGTATAGTAATAAAAGAAATACTAAAGGGGAGAAAAAATGGCAATGGAATAAGTGGAAGGCACACTGACAAGCTCTCAAGACCAAGCTGGTAAGACAACTAACACATTGTATGTGGGAAACGTATTGACTTTAAGTAGTAGAGCCACCTGTTACTACCCACAAACAATGTGCTAAAATGCAGGACAACCATCCTGAAAAATCAGCTGAGCACTAGCTGGAGACTAGCTGGAGAGAACCCTGGTAACACAGAACAGGAAGTGGGGACTGCATACAGACTGGTAGGCAGTGCTGAAGCACAAAAGGGATGGCTGGGTTCCCACAGACAACAGTTGAATTTTGGGAGGATATTTTGGCTGTGGGGTGTTCCCACTAAGAACTCTGGTGTCTGAACCCCAAGCTGAGATCCCAAGCCCAGAGCACAAGAACTGAGGGGGGTGCCTGCAAAACATATGGCTATGAAAAGCGGCAGGGCTGCAGTCTGGCAAGGAGACAGCTGGAAACACAGGCACCCTCTTAAATGCACAAAATTTCGAGTGCAGCCAGTCGCCATGGGCTCTGGCAGACGGAGGGCAGAGTGGACTGGAACTGTGTGAGGAGAGTCCAGGACTGGGGTCTCTGGGGTTGGAGCTCTGAGGGCAGCCACCCTAGTATCCAGTGCTAAGTCATTTCCTCATGATATGGAGGACATCTTTCTGCTGTGGACCTTTGCCATCCAGGCAGTTTTTGCCTGGGGGAAGCCAATTATCACACCCTGTTGGAACACCTCTCACTCCACCCTGCAGTCAATAGCCTGAGGGTAATCAAGGCTGACAACAATCAGACTGCAGGCTGAGGTGGGTCCTGGAGGCTTTGAGTCTTTGCCTGATCTCCTTGTGGGCCAGGGATAGGAAAAGCAGACCTTGGTGCACATCTTGGTCCTTTCCAAAGGAACCTGCCATAGTAGAGGGATCCAAAAGCTACGGATTGCTGATAGCTCATAACTGGGTATACAGTTCCAATCACAAGGAGTGTCTGACATCGTCCTACACTAGAGATCAGAAGTGTAGCAGATCTACCCAAATGCAAACAGGCAGCCAAAATGGGGAAACAAAAACGCAACCCCCCCAAGAAAGAACAAGAGAATTCTCCTGAAGAACTATCATTCAAAATAGATGGTGAAATAAAGAAATTTCCAGACAAAAAAAAAAGCTGCCCTGACAGGTTTAACTCAGTGGATAGAGTGTCGGCTTGTGGACTGAAGGGTACTGGGTTCGATTTCAGTCAAAAGCACTTGCCCGGGTTGCGGGCTGGATCCCGAGTAGGGGGCGATCAGGAGGCAGCCAATCAATGATCCTCTCTCATCATTGATGTTTCTCTCTCTCTCTTCCTGTCCCTACCTCTCTAAAATCAATAAAAATATATTTTTTAAAAAAATATTTAACCCTACTTGAAGAACTAGAAAGAGAGGAACAAGAAAAGACCAAAGTAGAAGGAAGGAAATAATAAAGATTAGAGGAGAAATAAATCATTTGGGGCTAAAAAAACAATACCAAAAAATATCAATGAAACCAATATCTGGTACTTTGAAAGTATAAACAAAATTGATGAACCATTAGCCAACCTCTTGAAGAAACAAAGAGACAGGAGCCAACTAAATAAAATCAGAAACAAAAGCGGTCAAGTAACAACTAATACCACAGAAATACAAAGGATTTTAAGAAAATACTATGGCCCTAGCCGGTTTGGTTCAGTGGATAGAGCGTTGGCCTGCGGACTGAAAGGTCCCAGGTTCAATTCCAGTCAAGGGCATGTACTTTGGTTGCAGGTACATCCCCAGTAGGAGGTGTGTAGGAAGCAGATGATAGATGTTTCTTTTTCATCGATGTTTCTAACTCTCTATCCCTCTCCCTTCCTCTCTGTAAGAAATCAATGCAATATATTAAAAAAAAGAGACAATACTATGAACAACTATTGGTATATACCAGTGATGGCGAACCTTATGAGTTCAGCGTGTCAGCATTTTGAAAAACCCTAAC